GTGATCTTCAGAGCTCGGGATGCTTCTCTGTTCTTGAGATGAAAGGCACATGTCTGTGTTTTAGATGGGTTGGGGATCAGCTGGTTTTCCCTGTAATAGGCAGTAAGAGCACCTAGAGCTTCAGAAAGCTTCTGTTCTACCATCTCAAAGCTCCCTGCTTGAGCAGTAATGGCACGATCATCAGCATAGATGAAACTCTCTGTCCCTTCTGGCAGTGGCTGGTCATTTGTGTAGATGTTGAACATGGATTGGGCAAGCACGCTTCCCTGAGGCAGGCCGTTCTTCCACCATCTGCTTCCCTGGCCCTGGAACTCAACAAAAAAGCTCCTGTTTTGTAGCAGGTTTCCTATGAGGCGGGTGAGGTGGTCGTCCTTTGTGATATTATACATTTTTCTCAGGAGGAGGCAGTGGTTCACAGTATCATAGACTGCTGACAGGTCTATGAAGACAGCTCCTGTGATCTGCTGCCTTTCAAAGCCATCTTCTATGTGCTGAGTCAGGTTCAGCACTTGCGATGTGCAGCTTTTGCCTTTCCTGAAGCCAGCTTGCTGTGGGATCAGACATGGGTCTATTTTTTCCGTAATTCTATGCAAAATAAGTCTCTCCAGAACTTTGTAGAGGTGGCACAACAGGGAGATTGGTCTGTAGCTTTTTGGGTCATTACGGTCTTTGCCTGGCTTCAAGATGGCGATGACTCTTGCTTTCCTCCAGATTTTGGGGATCTGACAGGATGCAGTGCAGTTGTTCATCAACTCCAGCAGCCAGCGCCTTGCTTTTGGGCCAAAGTTCTTGATTTGTTCCATCCGTAGATCATCCAGGCCAGCTGCTTTGCCATTTTTACATTTATTGAGAGCCATGTCCTATTCAGTAGATGTCAAGGGTTCGTGAAGGTTGTTGTTCAAATTGCTTGAGAAACATTTACTAGTATTTCATCTCCTTGCTAACCATGCTCGTCTAAGTGAATGCTATTCAATGAACAACATTGAATAGGAGCCTCCGGTGGCGCAATGGGTTAAATGGCAGGACTGAAGACTGACAGGTCAGAGGTTCGAATCCAGGCAGAGCGTGGATGAGCTCCCTCTGTCAGCCCTAGTTTCCCATGCGGGGACATGAGAGAAGCCTCCCACGAGGATGGTAAAACATCCAGCAGTCCCCTGGGCAACATCCTTGCAGACAGCCAATTCTCTCATACCAGAAGCGACTTGCAGTTTCTCAAGTCGCACCTGACACGAAAAAAAATGAACAGCTTTCCCGAAGAGGCCAGATGTGTTGGATTACAACTCTTGTAGCCACCATTATTCTGGTTTGGAAAGTATAGGAATTGTGGGAATTGAAATCCAAAACACCTGGAGGGCCAAAGTTTGTCCATGCCTGGTATAGCACTTTCATCTGTGAGCCATTTGTGTCGTGTCTTCTCATAGAAACCACGCAGACACTTGCCATGGAAAAGGAGAAAGAAGCTATGGGAAATTAGGAAAATCAGAAAATACTTGCGTTCTATAGCTTTTAAGCACTGCCATCCTGCATACAATTGCTACTGGAGACTGTTGTCTTGGGAATAATTGCTTAAATGCACTTGAGAGCAGCAAGGCATTGAATCTGTTTCAATGGTTTGAATGTGTTTCAGTTGGGATTTTTTTTTAGTATTGTTTATATTTAATCCTGTTTTAATGGTTGCATATTTGTACATATTAAATTGTATGCTAATCTATATATATATGAAAATGCTCTGTGCATAATGAGTACCTTAAAACAAAAGAACCAATGAACGAAATCACACTAAATTTGGCAACAAAATGTCTCACAACACAAGGAGTGACCATCACTCAAAAAATTATGATTTTGTCATTTGGGAGTTGTAGCTGCTGGGATTTATAATTCACCTAAAATTGAAGAGCATTCTGAACTCCACCAACAATGGAATTAAACCAAACTTGGTACGCAGAACTCCCATGACCAACAGAAAATACTGAAAGGGTTTGGTGGGCATTGACCTTGAGTTTTGGAGTTGTAGTTCACCTACACCCAGAGAGCACTGTGGACTCAAACAATGAAAGATCTAGAGCAAACTTGGCACGAATGCTCCATATGCTCAAATATAAACACAGATGGAGTTGGAGGGAAATAGACCTTGACATTTGGGAGTTGTAGTTACTGGAATTTATAGTTCACCTGCAATCAAAGAGCATTTTGAACCCCAGCAATTATGCAATTGGGCCAGATTTCCCACACAGAACCCCCATGACCAACAGAAAATACTGTTGTCTTTAGTAACCCTTCTGACACCCCCTCATGACCTCTAAAGGGGTCCCGACCCCCAGGTTGAGAAACACTGTAATAGAGGATAACATTGGAATCACTAGACTGGGCCACAGCAACGCGTGGCAGGGCATGGCTAGTGCTTTTATATTAAGCCACTTTGAGTCTCCTTCAGGAGAAATAAAACAGGGTAAAAGTAAAGTAAAGGTTTCCCTTTGACATTAAGTCTGGTCGTGTCCGATTCTTGAAGGTGGTGCTCATCTCCATTTCTAAGCTGAAGAGCCGGCATTGTCCGTAGACACCTCCAAGGTCATGTGGACTGCATGACTGCATGGAGTGCCGTTGCCTTCCAACCGGAGCGGTACCTATTGATCTACTTACATTTGCATGTTTTTGAACTGCTAGGTTCGCAGAAGCTGGGGCTGACAGTGGGAGCTCACTGGCATTGTCCACATTTCATTTTTTTCTGCCTAAGTCAGTGGTTCTCAACCTGAGGGTGCTCAGATGTTTTGGCCTTCAACTCCCAGAAAACCTAGCAGCTGGAAAACTGGCTGGGATTTATGGGAGTTGTATCTTGCATTTGTACCTGTTTAACTTTATATTTGCCTCTCTTATTTTTCAATGTTGGAATTGTGCAATTGCGCAATATAAAAACAATTTTAAAATTAAGGAAGAGCAGCAATGCGGGAAGGCGGAGGTTACGAGGGCGTGCAGAAATACATTTGTGGGACCACAGATTGGGGAATTGGCACAATTGAGCTAGTAAAGAGAGGTACAGTATTGAGGGTTCTCAATGTAATATACTTCCACCATCAATGATAATGTGTTATATTAGGCGATTCCTCGTTGTCCGAGTAAGATTGTCCTCCAAGTTTGGTGTACTGGCGGTGGGTGACTGTGAAGTGACTGTGAAGCCCTATTCTTGAACTGCATCTTCTCCCGCAGTGAGGGCATCATTTTCCAGGTGGAAGGTGGTCCTGGTCAGGGTTGGCTTGACGCGCCTTCCTCTTGGCACATTTCTCTCTTTCGCCCTCCATTCGTGCCTCTTCAAATTCTACAGCACTGCTGGTCACAGCTGACCTCCAGCTGGAGCTCTCAAGGGCCAGGGCTTCCCAGTTCTCAGTGTCTATGCCAGAGTTTTTAAGGTTGGCTTTGAGCCCATCTTTAAATCTCTTTTCCTGTCCTCTAACATTCCATTTTCAATTCTTGAGTTCGGAGTAGAGCAACTGCTTTGGGAGACGGTCATCAAGCATTTGGACAATATATTTACAAATATATTTTAGAATATAATTTAGTAGACAACCAAATAAAATCCGTTATGATCACGTGGGCCCAAGATGTTGGCAGAAATATCGATCTGGAAGAGTGGGAACGTCTCTGGAATAAGGGCTTTAGATTCTCAGTGGCCAGCTCAATTAGAGAAAATATGTTTAAAATGTTTTACAGAACCTATATAACCCCAGAGGTACTAGCTAAAATAGAGAAAACAGGACAAGGGGCTTGCTGGAGATGCAAGAAGGTGAAGGGATCTTTTTTCCACGTATGGTGGACCTGTAACATAGTTAAAGAATTCTGGAAAAAAGTGATGAAAGAAACAAATAAAATGATTAGCAAAAAAATCAAGAAAAATCCAGAAATGTGCTTATTAGGAATATTTAGGAGGCGTATTAGCACAGGAGATGAAGAAATTTGTCAGTATTGTTTTGTTGCTGCGAGACTAATAATAGCTAAATCGTGGAAGGGGGAAAAAGAGTTAATTATTAAGGATTGGAGAGATAAATTAGTAGATTATATCCAAATGGCCAAACTGACAAATAGCAGCAGAGGTGGAAATAATGAAGAATTTGTTAAAAAATGGCGGTTGGCAATTGGATATCTTGAAAAGAAGACAAAAGTAGATTTGAAGATCGCCATAAAGGGGATTCAGTGAAAGAAGACACGTGGGTAGTTGTGGGTTAGTTATGTGATCCATACGGAGTGGTGTCGGAGGTCACAGGGGTTGGGTTCACGGGTGTGGGGTTAGAGGGACAATAAATGTTAATGTATTATAACTGTACAGTCAAAGTTGATTTTTATATGTTTAATGAGCGCTGACTGTATACCATTCTGCAAATTTGCATACTCTTTTGTATATCTTTTTTTCCTTTTTTTCTGTTTTTTCTCTTTATTTTTTGTTTTTTACTTATTTCGGTTTTTCTTTGGTGTCGGTTTTGTTTTCTGTATGCAAACCAATAAAAAAATTTTTTAAAAAAAAAAGCATTCGGACAATGTGGCCCGTCCAGCGGGGTTGATGGCGGAAGACCATCGCTTCAGTGCTAGTGGTCTTTGCTTCTTCCAGCACGCTGATATTTGTCCACCTGTCTTCCCAAGATATTGGCAGGATTTTTAAAATGCAATTGTTCCAGGAGTTTCATGTGATGTCTGTAGACAGTCCACGTTTCGCAGGCATATAGCAGGATTGGGAAGACAATAGCTTTATAAACGAGCACCTTGGTATCCCTACGAATGTTCCGATCCTCAAACACTCTGTGCTTCATTCGGAAAAATGCTGCACTCGCAGAGCTCAGGCCAAGGTAACGGAGATGGAAATTTTGCCACCTTTTAACGATAATGTAGCTGCAGTGTAATACTGGGTTCATGTAATGAAGTCCCTGCCGGTCAATCTGAGTCATCCTGATATTCAGCTAACTATTTTCCCGCTGCTGTTTCCCTTTTTTAAATGGTTGTGTTTTTTTTTCCAGGTGATTATAAATAGCACTATCACACCTAATATGACCTTCACCAAAACATCCCAGAAATTTGGCCAGTGGGCTGACAGCAGAGCAAATACTGTCTTTGGCTTGGGCTTTTCTTCTGAGCAGCAGCTAAGCAAGGTAACTACATTCCAATGTATTTGTTGTTGTTGTTGTTGTCTCTTTTGTGTAATAATCTCCGTGAAATGATATTGCTGAGATACAGATTTGGTGGGCGTCGTATATAGAGACAGCGGGCATGTTCTGGATCATAATAATACTAATAATAATAATAATAATAATAATAATGACATATTGAATGAAAAACATGACGTGTTGAATGAGTTTTCTGGGCTGTATGGCCGTGTTCCAGAAGCATTATCTCCTGACATTTCGCCTCCATCTATGGCAGGCATCTTCTAGGCTTCTTCTGAGAATAACAGTGTCCTTCAATTCTGTATCTCAGCATCATGGTGGTCTTTCCCCTGTTTTTATCCCCCTCCAGCAAATTACACAAATGCAGCAAATTGTGCAATGTATAGAAATGCATGCAGAAATGCATGTGAAAAGAAAGAGAGAGATTTGTATTTAGAAATGCATGCAGAAATGCTTGTGGCAAGGAAGATAGAGATTTGTACTTGCTGCGTTAGCAAGAACAGCCATGTGTCAATCACAAACATGGGCAAACTTTAGCCCTCCGGGTGTTTTGGACTACAACTCCCACCATTCCTAACAACCTCAGGCCCCTTCCTTTCCCCCCTCAGCCACTTAACTTCTATGGCAGTTAAAGAGGTTTGAAACTGCATTGTTTCTATAGTGTAGATGCTTCCATAAAAGCATTGTTGTTGTTGTGATGTGTTTTGAAGTTGACTGCAATTTAAGGTGATCCTATCTTAGGGTTTTCTTGGCAAGATTTATTCAGAGAAGGTTTGTCATTGCCTGACTTTAAGGGTAAAAATGTGGCTTGCAACCATCCTACACTCTTCCTAGAAGGTAACCTCCTCTGGAATAGTAGTAATAGTAGTAATATCAGGAGTATTCTGTCGTGCGCTGGGCCTGTAATAGCTGTTTTTTCTATAGGACGTATACTTTAAGCCCAGCGGGAAGTCAGGGGCGCCTCAAAGAGAGGTTCTCAGGGATTTTTCTGAAGTGATGGTCTGAGGGTCTTTAATGATGCAACAAAGTCTTTATTATGGAACAAACAACAAATCTTCAATGGTTCAAACAACACTTCAAGGCTTTCTTAGTCTAGTCCTCAATGGACTGGTACCTGACTTTGATTAACTGAACTTTCTCTGTAGGAAAAACCCTTTTTAACCTCTCCCAGGCTGTTTACTATCTATGCCTCATCGATGTGGGTCCTACTACCAATTCCAAATGCGTCTGGGTATCGAGTAGACCTACCAGTCGAGGCTTGTAGATATTTCAGATGGCGTTTCGTGGATCTGTAATGCTGTCCTCCCTCCGAGAATTCTTTGAAAACTTCAGGGCTGTTTTCCCTCTGATTGCTGTGAGGCTGAGAGGCTGTGAGCTCTCAGCCAGAGCCTTGGGACCTTTCCCTGGAATTTCTGTTTCTGTTTCCCTGGATGTTCTTGAGAAAAGAAGCTTTTCTACGGGACGAGCTGGTCTACGTCCTATAGTTTAGCTTCCTTATGTGAGACTGACAAAAAAATGGCTCCTTTCCCTCCCAGAGCCCTGAACAAGGGGCGGAACCAAAGCTTAATTATGATGGACAGGAGGCCTGCCCTATGACTGCAAACAGATAACAGAAAGAAAATAAAGTTGGAGCTCCTGGTACAGCCGTACCAGCACAAGGAGGCAGAGGTCTTCTGCAAGTAAAACAAATGGTAGAAGAAGAGAAACGTGCCCTGGCAGATTATGTGAAAGGCAGTCAAGAACCAACATTGGAGGAAGTCAATAGTAGTAAACTGCTTCAAGTGCAAAAGGCAAAGAGGGAAGACCGTAAAACAATCCAGAGCAGAAGAGAAAACTGGAAAAAGAAGGCTCTCCATGGACAGTTCCTGGGAAAAATTGAGAGCCAAATTGACAAAGAAAAACATGGCTGTGGCTCACAAATGGAACTCGGAAAAAGGAGACAAAGGAGGGCCTGATTCTGGCAGCCCAAGAACAAGCCATTCGAACCAATGCCATCAAAGCCAGAATTGAAAAGTCGACAGACAGATCCCAAATGTAGACTCTGCAAGGAAGCAGATGAAACAATAGATCACATCCTCAGGTACTGCAAGAAGATCGCACAGACAGACTACAAACAGAGGCATAACACCGTTGCTCAGATGATTCAATGGAACTTGTGCCACAAATACCATCTGCCTGCGACAAAGAACTGGTGGGATCACAAGCCGGGAAAAGTTACAGAGAATGAACATGTCAAGCTACTCTGGGACTTCCAAATTCAGACAGACAGAGTTTTGGAGCACAATACTCCTGACCTCACAATCGTGTTAAAAAACAAAGTATGGGTTGTCGATGTTGCAATCCCAGGTGACAGCAGGATTGCAGAGAAACAACTGGAAAAGCTGACACAATATGAGGATTTAAAGATTGAACTGCAAAGACTCTGGCACAAGCCAGTCAAGGTGGTCCCAGTGGTGATCGGCACACTGGGTGCAGTGCCTAAAGACCTTGGCCTGCACTTAAACACAATCACGCTGACAAAATTACCATCTGCCAGCTGCAAAAGGCCACCTTACTGGGATCTGCACACATTATTCGCCGATACATCACACAGTCCTAGACACTTGGGAAGTGTCCGACATGTGATCCAATTCAACAGCCAGCAGAATGTCTGCTGTGGACTCATCTTGTTGTGTTTATAATAATAATAATAATAATAATAATAATAATAATAATAATGACATTTTTATTTGTATTCCATCCTATCTCCTCGAGGGGATTCAGAGCAGATTCCAGCATATATATAGAACCAGGCAAACATTCAATGCCTTTGAAACACAATATGAAACACAAATACACACACAAAGGCAAAGGCTTCCCCTTTCATCTCCGGCTCTGGAGGCGATGCTCATCTCTGGCTCTGGGGGAGGTGCTTATCTCCATTTCCAAGCCAAGGAGCCTGCGTTGTCCATAGACACCTCCTGGTCACATAACCCGCATGACTTCGTGGAGCACCCTTTTACCTACCTTCTCACATTTGCATGTTTTCAAACTGCTAGGTTGGCAGGTGCTGGGGCTGACAGTGGGAGCTCAGCAGCTCAACGGTTGTCTCTTGGAAGCAAGAGACAACCTGCTTAAGAGGCTGAGACTTTAGGAAAGGGCCTGAGGAATTGTGGGAGTTGTAGTCCAAAACACCAGAAGTTTGCCTGGTCAAGCATAATGTTTTGATTGGGTCTTCTATCAATGTTGGAGGTGGTGACAATAGAATGAAATCATTGATCGTTTCCCTGTTAGGAAACTTAACTAAGGGGTAGTATGGTAATAAATAACTCACGGTTTACACAACGTGTTCTGTGTGTGCTAATAGTAATTCAAACACCCGGAATGTTTGTTCGTTCTATAAAAGAAGCAGTTATCTCAACACATCGTTGGTTTTCTTTCTCAACACAAACCACATTTCCATCAATGCTTCCAGATGGCATTTGCTCACTAAATATACTGCCCTTGAACATTCCATACATTCCCTGTTAATCTTGCTACTCATAATGTGTTGTCGAAGGCTTTCATGGCCAGAATCACTGGGTTGCTGTGAGTTTTTTGGGCTGTATGGCCATGTTCCTGTAACATTCTCTCTTGACGTTTCATGTGAATCTGTGGCTGGCATCTTCAGAGGTTCTGCTGGCAGTGAAGCAAGTGAAGTATATATATATATATCTGTGGAATGTCCAGAATGGAAGAAATAACCCATGTCTGTTTAAATCAAGTGAGAATGTTGCAATTAGCATGCTTGAATTAGGATTTGAGTGAGATTGCAGAGTCAACCAGTGAGGGTATCTGCATAGAGGTGGCCTGGCTGTTGTTGCCTGGAGGCAACCTCTGTTTGGGATGTGGTTTTAGGATCCCTCATGCACACCAAAATCTGTGGATACTCAATATACAATGGAATATCTAGATTAGGAATCTCTAGATCGGTGTTTCTCAACCTGGGGGTCAGGACCTCGGGGGGGGGGGGTGCAAGGGGGTGTCAGAGGGGTTACCAAAAACCATCATTTTCTGTTGGTCATAGAGGTTCTGTGTGGGAAGTTTGGCCCAATTATATTATTGGGTTCCGAATACTCTTTGATTGTAGGTGAACTATAAATCCCAGCAACTACAACTCCTAAATGTCAAATCTACTTCCCCCAAACTCCACTAGTATTAACATTTGGGTATATTAAATATCCGTGCCAAGTTTGGTCCAGATTTATCATTGGTTGAGTCCACAGTGCTCTCTAGATGTAGGTGAACTACAACTCCAAAACTCAAGGTCATTGTCCACCAAACCATTCCAGTATTTTCTGTTGGTCAGGGGAATTCTGTGTGCCAAGTTTGGTTCACTTCCATCTGTGGTGGTTCAGAATGCTCTTTGATTGTAGGTGAACTATAAATCCCATTAACTACAACTCCCAAATGTCAAAGTCTATTTCCCTCCACCAGTGTTCACATTTGGGCATATTGAGTATTGTGCCAAGTTTGGTCCAGATCCATCATTGTTTGAGTCCACAGTGCTCTCTAGATGTAGGTGAACTACATCTCAAACTCAAGGTCAATGCCTACCAAACCCTTCCAGTATTTTCTGTTGGTCATGGGAGTCCTGTGTGCCAAGTTTGGTTCAATTCCATCATTGATGGAGTTCAGAATTCTCTTTGATTGTAGGTGAACTATAAATCCCAGCAACTGCAACTCCCAAATGACAAAATAACCCAACCCCCCACCCCCCAACCCCAGCAGTACTCAAATGTTGGTTGTATTGAGTATTTGTGCCTATTTGGTCCTTTGAATGACAATGCATCCTGCATATCAGATATTTACATTACGATTTATAACAGTAGCAAAATGATAGTTATAAAGTAGCAATGAAAATAATTTTATGGTTGGGAGTCACCACCACATGAGGAACTGTATTAAGGGTTCGTGGCATTAAGCGGCTAAGGGGGATAGAAAAGGTCCCGAGGCTGTTAGGAATTGTGGGAGTTGAAGTCCAAAACACCTGGAGGACCCAAGTTCACCCATGCCTGGTGTAAACTCATATAAAAAGGTAAAGGTTTCCCCTGCCATTAAGTCCAGTCGTGACCAACTCTGGGGGTTGGTGCTCATCTCCATTTCTAGGCCGAAGAGCCGGCGTTGTCCATAGACACCTCCAAGGTCATTTGGCCAGCATGATTGCATGGAGTGCCATTACCTTCCTGCCAGGGCAGTACTTACTGATCTACTCACATTTGCATGTTTTTGAACTGCTAGGTTGGCAGAAGCTGGGGCTAACAGAGGGAGCTCATGCAGCTCCCTGGATTCGAGCCTCGACCTTTCGGTCAACAAGTTCAGTGTCTGTAAATTAAAGGTATATGTCTTTTGTTTTGCTGTACATTCAGCATAGATACTCCTGACTATGTTGACAGTGCTATATATTATTCATTCTGCGATGTCTGTGTCCTTAAGATCGCTAATGTAATGGGGCATCAGTTGGTTAAGGTTCAGTAAGATGATGCTAAGGAAATAGCTCATTTGTATGCATGTCATTCCCTAAGTCCAGAAATAAATGCCCAGTGCTTGAAAGCAGCAGATCCATTACTTTAATGCGGTCTCGAGGTCATAGGTTACGCTAAGGCTGACAGACAAATTATATTCATGGCCAGTTTTGGGAATGTATTAGTGCTGCATGCTCTAGGCATGTGCTCTCAAATTAATATTTGTCATTACCTGTGCCTCTTGGTTTCACCTGACCGTGTCTTTGGGTAAATGGATGTCTTGATCGGGAAATGGTGGCAGAGCAGACAACCGGGATATGCACCTTCTCCAAGTTCTGGGAAGAGGCTGATTTAGGTTAGTTAGGTTCATGCAGAGAGGAATCAGAATTGCTGTCATCGGGATCTTGTATTTATTTATTTTTGAAGTCAAGAAGAGAGCTGAGAGATCTCCTGCATCTTGATGTTGGTTGTCGCTTATGGCAACTCTATTGCAAGGCTTTGTTGGTGTGAATCGTTCAAATTAGTGGGTTGCTGTAGGTTTTTCGGGCTGTATGGCCATGTTCTCACAACCTCTGAGGATGCCTGCCATAGATGTAGGTGAAATGTCAGGAGAGAATGCTTCTGGAACATAGCCAGACCTCGCAACCTCTGAGGATGCCTGTCACAGATGTGAATATTGCAATTGGCCACCTTGAAGAGCCTTGCAGTTTCAAAGCCTGGCTACTTCCTGCCTGGGGGAATCCTTTGTTGGGAGGTGATTCCAGACTCACCACAGAAGAAGAAAAAAAGGATAAAAGCAGCTCCGAAGAGATGCCTCATGTTGATTGTCGCTTTTAGATTTTTAAAATACTGGATTAATCAGAGCCAGCTAACACATCCCAACAAAGGATTCCCCAGGCAGGAAGTAGCCAGGCTTTGAAACTGCAAGGCCATTCAGTGCTAATAAAGGTAGCCAACTGCAACATTCCCACTTGCCTCAAACAGATAAGACTTCTTTCTCCCACCCTGGACATATATGTAAACTTCACTTGCCTAGCTTCCACCAGACCTCACAACCTCTGAGGATGCCTGCCATAGATGTAGGCGAAAAGTCAGAAGAGAATGCTTCTGGAACATAGCCAGACCTCACAACCTCTGAGGATGCCTGTCATATATGTGAATATTGCAATTGGCCATCTTGATTAGCCTTGCAGTTTCAAAGCCTGGCTTCTTCCTGCCTGGGGGAATCCCTTGTTTGGAGGTGTTAGCTGGCCCTGATTGTTTCCTGCCTGGAACTCCCATGTTTGTATCTCCTATTTTCTCCTATTTAGTCATTATTTTTTTCATAGTTGAGCTTTCATAGTTAAGCCCTTAATGTAAAAATGATGTGGAGTAAGCTACTACTTGAGTCCAATCCCATATAACACTTTGTGTGTATCCGCATGTAGTTTGCTGAGAAATTTCAAGAAGTCAAAGAAGCCGCCAGATTAGCCAGAGAGAGATCTCAGGAAAAAATAGAGACTTCCAGCAATCATTCCCAAGTAAGTCACTTGTGTGCTGTCGTTTGAAAATTTGAATGTTTAGTTACACACACACACACACACACACACACAAATATTTTGAGAACGAGCTTTTGGACAGTTTGAAAATAATATTGCAGATTTCTTGTGCAGGTTAGAAAGGGAATGAGTATGCTACAAATGCATTTATCTTACTCTCTGTAATTGCGTTTAGAGCAGGCATGGGCAAACTTCGGCCCTCCAGGTGTTTTGGACTCCAACTCCCACAAGTCCTTCTCTACCCTTCTTTCTTTCCTCCTTTCTCTCCTTCCCTCCTTCTTTCCCTTCTGCTTTCCTCCTTTCTTGGGCGCCTCAGTCTAGTTCCTTCCTTCTCTACCCTTTCTTTCCTCTTCTCCTTCTCTTTCCCTCCTTCTATCCTTCCTTCCTTCTCTACCCTTCTTTCCTTTCCTTCTCTCCTTCCCTCCTTCTTTCCCTTCTTCTTTCCTTTCTTTCCCTCTCTTTCTTCCTTCTCTACCTTCTTTCTTTCCTTCTTTCCTTCCCTCCTTCTTCCCTCTTTCTCTCCTCTCTTCTCCATCCCTTTTGTCTTTCCTTCCCTTCCTCCTTCCCTTCTTCCTTCTTTTTCCTTTCTTCCTTTTTCCTTCCTCCCCTCCTTCTCCTTCCGTCCTTCTCTACCTTTCTTTCCTTCTGTATCTCTTCTCTCTTCTTTCTCTCCTCTCTCCTTCCTTCCTTTCCTTCTCCTTTCTTCTTCCTCTTTCTCTCTCTCCTTCTTTCCCTTCTCTTTCCTCTTTCTCTCCTTCTTCCTTCTTCCTTCCTTCCTTCTTCCTTCCTTCCTTCCTTCCTTCCTTCCTTCCCCCTTTCTGTGTATGTGTTTTGTGTGTGCGTATGTGTGTATATAAAACTAAAAATACATTACAATGCATGCGCAAAACCACATATATACACAAACACACAGATATACACATATACACAAATATATAGTGTATATGTGTATATCTGTGTGTTTGTGTATATATGTGGTTTTGCGCATGCATTGTAATGTATTTTTAGTTTTTTTGGCTTTTCAAGTCTCTTTTGCTGTGTTTTTCAGTGTTTTTATGAGTGATGGTCACTCGTTGGCCTGAAAGGTGTCTTGTATCCAAATTTGGTCTCAATTCGTCCAGCGGTTTTTGAGTTGTGTTAATCCCACAAACGAACATTACATTTTTATTTATATAGATTAAATTACATTACATTACATTATATTATTTGCATAGCAATATCGTTCTGTTCTCCTAGAAAAGGAGTTGTTTTTAGCATGAGCTGGGTGATGTAGGGTGACACAACAGGTCACGTTATGATGGACTTTGTCATGACTATTCCATCTTCTTTCGTTGGGTGTCTTGTGCAGGAATCAGGGCGCGAAACTCCATGTTCAACTCGGGCATCCAGTGTGAATGGAACAGATGATGAAAAAGTCTCGCACGGCGGTCCTTCTGAAACACAGCTGAAAACAGAGAACGACAGACTGAAATTTGCTCTAGCCCAAAGGTGAAATTGCTTATGTGATTACCTTCTACTGATTGACTACAAATGATGTCAATAATAATAATAACAACAACAACAAGTCAAGGTGGTCCCAGTGGTTATCGGCACACTGGGTGCAGTGCCTAAAGACCTTGGCCTGCACTTAAACACAATCAGCGTGGATAAGATTACCATCAGCCAGCTGCAGAAGGCTACCTTACTGGGATCTGTACGCATTATTCGCCGATACATCACACAGTCCTAGACACTTGGGAATGTCCGACGTGTGATCTTGTTTGCTGTGGACTCATCTTGTCGTGTTCAATAATAATAATAATAATAATAATAATAATAATAATAATAATATTGTTGAAGGTTTTCATGGCCAGAATCACTGAGTTGTTTTAGGTTTTTCGAGCTATATGGCCATGTTCTAGAAGCATTCTCTCCTGATGTTTCACCCACATCTATGGCAGGCATCCTCAGAGGTTGTGAGGTATGGTTTGTTACTGCCTGGGGGAATCCTTTGTTGAAAGGTGAATAGGTGTCCCTGATCTTTTTCCACAGATAGATTAACCCCATTTTCCTAGTTTCAGACCTCACAACCTCTGACAATGCCTGCCATAGGTGTGGGCAAAACATCAGGAGAGAATGCTTGACCATATGGCCCGGAAAACCTACAACAACCCAAACTATAAGAATGCTGGTTAAAATGATCACATCGTTTATATCAATATTATCCAGGTTTATGTACTAATCCCAAGCATGTGTTGTCCAAGGCTTGCATGGTCAGAATCTCTGAGTTGTTGTGAGTTTTCCTGGCTGTATGGCCATGTTCCAGAAGCATTCTCTCCTGACATTTTGGCCACATCTATGGCAGGCATCCTCAAGAGGTTGATGAGATCTGTTGGAAACTAGGCAAGTGGGGTTTATAGTAAAGGTAAAGGTTTCCCCCTGACATTAAGTCCAGTTGTGTCCGACTCTGGGAGTTGGTGGTCATCTGGTCATCTCCATTTCTAAGCTGAAGAACTAGTGTTGTCCATAGACACCTTCAAGGTCATGCGGCCGACATGATTGCATGGAGTGCCATTACCTTCCCACCAGAGCGGTACCTATTGATCTACTTACATTTGCATGTTTTCAAACTGCTAGGTTGGCAGAAGCTGGGGCTAACAGTGGGAGCTCAGCCTGCTCTCCACATATGAACCTGCAACCTTTTGGTCAGCAAGTTCAGCAGCTCAGTGGTTTAACCCACTGCCCCACCGGGGGTTCTGGGGTTTATATATCTGTGGAATATCCACAAAACGAAGAGGGAGGGGGCCAGAAGACAGTTCCACCTTGTCTCCTGTGCTATGATAATAATATAATATATTATAATGTAATGTAATATATTGTGTATACATATAATATTTATAATATTATAATGTACTTACAATATAATATTAATACTAATAATATATTATAATTATATATTTTATATTACATGTAATATTACTAATAATCTTACAATATAATGGTATAGTACATATAGTAATAATAATACTGATATTGTACTATGCTAATAATATAAGAGCTCAGCCTGCTCTCCGCATATGAACCTTCTAGCTTTCGGTCAGCAAGTTCAGCAGCTCAGTGGGGTAGGAAGGGTGGCATATAAATATCATAAACAAATATATAAACAAATAAATAAATAAATAAATATAGAAACATCTCAAGTTGTCAATTCACCTAGTCTTGCACGTAACTTAGAAATTGATGTGATGTTACCAATAGGATACTAATTCTGACATTTCTCTGGGTTCAAGGAGGTCTTGTCTGGTCCTTGGATATATTTTTTGATAATTACTATATTTACATACCACCTTTTCAGAACTTTCGACCAGAAGTCCTTAAAATAGTTGACCTAGTAGAAGGTAAAGAACTATTTTTATAGATAAAGAACTATTTTTAAATAAGCAATGCATGGAAGTGGAAGAAGACAACAGAATTGGAAGGACAAGAGACCTCTTCCAGAAAATTAGAAACATTGGAGGTAAATTTCAGGCAAAAATTGGTATGATAAGAAACAAAGATGGCAGGGACCTAACAGAAGCTGAAGAGATCAAGAGAAGGTGGCGAGACTATACAGAAGATCTGTATAGGAAGGATAATAATATCGAGGATAGTTTTGACAGCGTGGTGAGGGAATTAGAACCAGACATCCTGAGGAGTGAGGTTGAATGGGCCTTAAGAAGCATTGCTAACAACAAGGCAGCAGGAGACGACGGGATCCCAGCTGAACTGTTTAAAATCTTAAAAGATGATGCTGTCAAGGTGATGCATGCCATATGCCAGCAAATATGGAAAACACAAGAATGGCTATCAGACTGGAAAAAATCAACTTATATCCCCATACCAAAAAAGGGAAATGCGAAAGACTGCTCAAACTTCCGTACAGTGGCCCTTCTTTCTCATGCCAGTAAGGTAATGCTCAAGATCCTGCAAGGAAGACTCCAGCAATACATGGAGCGAGAGTTGCCAGATGTTCAAGCTGGGTTTAGAAAAGGCAGAGGAACGAGAGACCAGATTGCCAATATCCGGATGCTGGATAATGGAGAAAGGCAGGGAATTTCAGAAAAACATCTACTTCTGCTTCATTGAATATTCTAAAGCCTTTGACTGTGTGGATCATAATAAATTGTGGCAAGTTCTTGGTGGGATGGGCATACCAAGCCACCTTATCTCTCTCCTGAGGAATCTGTATAAGGACCAAGTAGCAACAGTAAGAACTGACCATGGAACAACAGACTGGTTCAAGATTGGGAAAGGCGTATGGCAGGAGTTGTATCCTCTCCCCCAACCTATTCAACTTGTATGCAGAACACATCATGCGATGTGCGGGGCTTGACGAATGCAAGGCTGGGGTGAAAATGGCTGGAAGAAACATTAACAACCTTAGATATGCAGATGATACCACTTTGATGGCCAAAAGTGAGGAGGAGCTGAGGAGCCTTCTAATCAAGGTGAAAGAAGAAAGCGCAAAAGCTGGGTTGCAGCTAAACATAAAAAAAACCAAGATTATGGCAACAAGAATGATTGACAACTGGAAATAGAGGGAGAAAACGTGGAGGCCGTGACAGACTTTGTATTTCTAGGTGCAAAGATTACTGCAGATGCAGACTGTAGCCAGGAAATCAGAAGACGCTTACTTCTTGGGAGGAGAGCAATGTCCAATCTCGATAAAATAGTAAAGAGTAGAGACATCAGAACGGCAACAAAGATCCGCCTAGTCAAAGCCATGGTATTCCCTGTAGTAACCTACGGATGTGAGAGCTGGACCTTAGGGAAGGCTGAGCGAAGGAAGATCGATGCTTTTGAGCTGTGGTGTTGGAGGAAAGTTCTGAGAGTGCCTTGGACTGCGAGGAGATCCAACCAGTCCATCCTCCAGGAAATAAAGCCCGGCTGCTCACTGGAGGGAAGGAGACTAGAGACAAAGCTGAAGTACTTTGGCCACATCATGAGGAGACAGCAAAGCCTAGAGAAGACAATTATGCTGGGGAAATGGAAGGAAAAGGAAGAGGGGCCGACCAAGGGCAAGATGGATGGATGGCATCCTTGAAGTGACTGGTGGCTTGAAGGAGCTGGGTGGTGGTGACAGCCGACAGGGAGCTCTGGCGTGCTGGTCCATGAAGGTCACAAAGAGTCGGAAATGACTGAACGAATGAACAACAACAACAAACAAAGGATGTCACAGCCGGAATCACAGACACAGATGCAGGCAGCAGGTCAGGAGAAAATGCTGCAAGAACATGACCACTCCAGTGGTTTGATAACAACAACAACAACAACAACAACAGTAGAAGGCAATTTACAAATGCACTTGAATTAATGTATTGTTGAAGGCTTTCATGGCCAGAATCACTGGGTTGTTGTAGGTTTTTCCGGGTTATATGGCCATGTTGTAGAGGCATTCTCCTGACGTTTCGCCTGCATCTATGGCAAGCATCCTCAGAGGTAGTGAGGTCTGTTGGAACTAGGAAAATGGGTTTATATATCTGTGGAATGACCAGGGTGAGACAAAGGACTCTTGTCTGCTGGAGCTAGGTGTGAATGTTTCAACTGACCACCTTGATTAGCATTTGATGGCTTGGCAGTGCCTGGGGGAATCTTTTGTTGAGAGGTGATTAGATGTGCCTGATTGTTTACTCTCTGTTGTTTTGCTGTTGTAATTTTAGAGTTTTTTTTTAATATTGGTAGCCAGATTTTGTTCATTTTCATGGTTTCCTCCTTTCTGTTGAATTGTCCACATGCTTGTGGATTTCAATGGCTTCTCTGTGTAGCCTGACATGTAGCTCCAGCAGACAAGAGTCCTTTGTCCCACCCTGGTCTTTCCACAGATATATAAAACCATTTTCCTAGTTCCAACAGACCTGACTACCTCTGAGGATGCTTGCCATAGAAGCAGGCGAAACGTCAGGAGAGAATGCCTCTAGACCATGGCCATACAGCCTGAAAAAACCCTTTTTCCTAGTTCCAACAGACCTCATTACCTCTGAGGATGCTTGCCATAGATGCAGGCGAAACGTCAGGAGAGAATGCCTCTACAACATGGCCATATAACCTGGAATAACCTACAACAACCCGCTTGAATTAAGTTGTGACACAAGCTTACTATCCTAACACCATGATCAAAAGGTAGGTGTACAAATATTTAACTGAAGATTACTCTCGAGTTAGCATGTGAGTTTTAGTTAATTTCAGAATCAATAAAAACAGATTGACGATAAGTCTTGGGGTGAATGGGATTACATTTAATAATCCCCTTAAATCCATTTCCATTAAACTAATCCCTTCTCCCTTGTTCCAACTGTCAACTGACATAATTCCAGCCATCAATCCCCAGTTGTCGCTCCACGCTCTGTCCGGTTCCTCCAACATACACGCTCCAGAGTCATTACTTCCAAGCTGTCTTCAAGCTATTTTCCCCGCTAGACTTCTACACCCACATCTGCTATTTGAGAAAGACCTTAAACCCAAAGGCTACCCAAGTTATGGCTGTCTTGACCTTGGGAATAAGGGCCGAAAACACCCCTCCCTGGAAGAACGCCTTTCCTCAAAACCCCCAAATCCAGTAGAAAAACAGATCTCTCTTGGTCAGAGCTCCTTCTGTTCACCATGCAGATCTTCCCACACACAGCTGTCTTTGCATAATCCCGAAATGAAAATTATCCTGCTTCGGTTTGCAAGAAGGATATTGTGTCTGAATGCTTTAAAAGAAGGGAAAGAACCCCACCTGTATTTTGGGGGGTTTCTTTTTCCGCCTCAGGAGTGACTTGAGAAACTGCAAGTTGCTTCTGGAGTGAGAGAATTGGCCGTCTGCAAGGATGTTGCCCAGGGGACGTCTGAATGTTTTATCATCCTGTGGGAGCTTCTCTTATGTCCCCGCATGGGAAGCTGGAGCTGACAGATGGGAGCTCACGCTGCTCCCCAAATTCGAAAGGCCAGCCTTTCGGTCAGCAGTTCAGCCAGCAGAAGGGTTTAACCCATTGCGCCATTATGGCTCCAATAATAATATTAATTATTATTAATTGCCATGGGGATGCTCAGATGTTTTACCATCCTATGGGAGGCTTCTCTCATGTCCCCGCATGGGAAGCTGGAGCTGACAGATGGGAGCTCATGCTGCTCCCCAGATTTGAAAGGCCAACCTTTCGGTCAGCAGTTCAGCCAGCAGAAGGGTTTAACCCATTGCACCATTGTGGCTCCAATAATAATATTAATTATTAATTATTATTAATTATTAATTGTCCAGGGGATGTCCGGATGTTTTACCATCCTGTGGTAGGCTTCTCTCATGTCCCCGCATGGGAAGCTGGAGCTGACAGATGGGAGCTCATGCTGCTTCCCAGATTCAAACAGCCAACCCTTCGGTCAGCAGTTCAGCCAGCAGAAGGGTTTTACCCATTGCAACATTATGGCTCCAATAATAATATTAATTATTATTAAGTGCCATGGGGATGCTCAGATGTTTTACCATCCTGTGGAAGGCTTCTCTCATGTCACCGCATGAGAAGCTGGAGCTGACACATAGGAGCTCACCCCACTTCTTGGATTCAAACCGCCGACCTTTCGGTCAGCAGTTCAGCCGTCACAACTTCAAGTTGCTTCTGGTGTGAGAGAATTGGCTGTCTGCAAGGACGTTGCCTAGGGGATTCTCGGATGTGTTACCATCCTGTGGAAGGCTTCTCTCACGTCACTGCATGAGAAGCTGGAGCTGATAGATAGGAGCTCACCCCCTCCTTGGATTCGAACCGCTGACCGTTCAGTCAGCAGTTCAGCCAGCACAACTGCAAGTTAATTCTGGTGTGAGAAAATTGTCTGTCTGCAAGGACGTTGCCCAGGGGACTCCCAGATGTGTTACCATCCAAAGGAAGGCTTCTCTGATGTTACCGCATGAGAAGCTGGAGTTGACAGATAGAAGCTCACCCTGCTCCTTGGATTCAAACCACTAACCTTTTGGTCAGCAGTTTAGCCGGCACAACTGCAAGTTGCAGCATTACCACTTGCCTCAAACAGACAAGAGTTCATTCTCCCACCCTGATATATAAGATATATAAACCCCACTTGCCTAGTTTCCAACAGACCTCATAGATAAGTGAAACGTCAGGAGAGAATGCTTCTGGAACAAGGCCATACAGCCCGGAAAACTCACAGCAACCCATACTGAACAATTTTGCAAGTAAGTTGTAAAGTTTTTTTAGCAATAGACAAAATGAACAAACTCTTTGACACTTTGTTAAAAGACATTTTTAAAAGTAGTGTCAAAAATGCAGCCAGTCGTCATCCCCAGCTTATTTCACGATGTTGTTGCGGAGCTGCAAATAATTGAATTATGATTGGGCTTATTGTTTTTGTTTCATATACAGAAATATCAAATGTTTTTTTTCCCCTCCCCTGTATCTGTTTCAGTTCCTCCAATGTAAAGAGATGGGAAATAGAACTGCAGTCTCTTCGGGAGAGCAATGCCAGGCTGACTTGTGCGCTCCAGGAATCTGCAGCCAGCATCGAACACTGGAAAAAACAGTTCTCCGTTTGCAAAGAAGAGAACGATCAACTTAGGAGCAAGGTAAAGGACGCAACATGGCTTTTTTTTTCCTGCTATGTTAGTAGAAAGAAAGCTTACTGGTTGTAAATCCTCAGGAGTATATATATCGGTTCCTGGTGAGAACTTTACAGCGTTCCCTCACTTATCGCCGGGGTTACGTTCCTGAACCACCCATGATAAGTGAATGTCCACAATGTAGGGAAGCCCAGGACTTACATCAGGCTGGGGTTTCCCTTCAACAGCACTCAAGGGGGCTCTGAGGAAGAGGAGAAGGAAGAGATTAGATTACTGCAATGCACTCTACATGGGGCTGCCTTTGTAGACTGTTAGGAAACTCCAACTAGTCCAACGGGGAGCAGCCAGATTACTCACCAGAGCACCATATAGGGAGCACACCACCCCCCTGCTATGTCAGCTCCACTGGCTGCCGGTTCACTTCCGAGCACAATTCAAAGTGCTGATCTTGGCCTATAAAGCCCTAGAGGATGGAGCGACAGCACTCGCTGTGGACTCGATCCCAACCGTCCATGGCATTGAAACAACACCTCCTTCTGTGCTGTCTGTCTATGTACTGTCTATACAACCGGCATTGAATGTTTTCCATGTGTGTGTACTTGTGATCCGCCCTGAGTCCCCTTTGGGGTGAGAAGGGCGGAATATAAATAAAGTGTTGTTGTCGTTTTTGGTGGTGGTGCAGCAGGTTAAACCGCTGAGCTGCTGAACTTGTTGGCGGTTTGAATCCAGGCAGCAGGGTGAGCTCCTGCTGTTAGCCCCAGCTTCTGCCAACCTAGCAGTTCGAAAACATGCAAATGTGAGTAGAACAGTAGGTACAGCTTCAGCAGGAAGGTAACGGTGCTCCATGGAGTCATGCTGGCTACATGACCTTGGAGGTGTCTATGGACAATGCTGGCTTTGCAAGAGTGAAATGCACTTTCCATTTTAATCCATGCAGAAAAAAATAATTTCATGTTTCTTTAGAAGATGTCGTGGAACAAGCTCAGATAGTATGCACTCATCTGGGGTTTAGTCAGTGTTGGCTTAATGATGAGCCTTATGGCTTTGTTGAAATGCACTTTATAGCTCAGGGAAGCCTTCCTTCCTGGGTTGTTTGCTCGTACAAAAAGGTTAACAGATACAGTGACTGTGTTCAAGATGCAGGCCTCCCTGAAAAGAATAAGGAGAGGAATGAAACTACCAACACCATATGGCTGTTCCAGTGGAGAACGGTGCTACATTTGTCCTGAAATCAAGTTCAGTTGAGTGGGATTGTTGCTACCAGTAGCACTAAGGGGAGTCAAATACCACTGCCGTCAGGAAATCTCTCCCAAGATTATATGGCCCAATTAAAAGCTTCTGACGAATCACACCATATTATTTTAGTGACAGCACACACTACTATTCTTGGGCTACAGCTTTAAATTATATAGGTTTACACCTCTTGGTTATTCTCCACTGACATTTACACTCAACATACTGAATATGGGGAGGAATAACACAGTTTGGCAGGCAGGAGCGGTGCCTTGTCTTCTGGTATATTTTGAAATATCGACTGCACAAAATAAACCCAAAGCATTGAACCGCTTGGGATCAAGATTTATTTATTTACTAGCCGTCCCCTGCCAGGTGTTGCTGTGGCCCAGTCTGGTGATCTGGAAAATAAAGTAATTAGAAAGTGTTGGTTTCAAATATATGTAATTCCTTTATGCTTGTGAGTAAACAGTATTTCGTGCTGTTTCTTTGTCAGTGTTGATGTGGAGAGTGTCTGCTTTGCCTACTCTGGAATATGCAGCATACCATAGTCCTTCTTTAAGGGTCTCTTTCAAATCTGTGATACTATATCTCTCTCTGTGTGTGTGCGAATCATATCTATCTATCTATATTTATGACTGGATGACTCTTTGTCAGGAGGGCTCTGATTACATTTTCTTGCCCTGGTGAAGAGAGTTGGACTGGATGCCCTTAAGTATTTTCTGTTGGTCATGGGGTTCTGTGTGGGAAGTTTGCCCCAATTCTGTTGTTTGTGGGGTTCAGAATGCTGTTTGATTGTAGGTGAACTAGTAACTACAACTCCCAAATGTCAAGGTCTATTTCCCCCCAAACTCCATCTGTGTTCATATTTGGGCATATGGAATATTTGTGTCAAGTTTGGTCCAGATCAATCATTGTTTGAGTCCACAGTGCTCTCTGGATGTAGGTGAACTACAACTCCCAAACTCAAGGTCAATGCCCACCAAACCCTTCCAGTGTTTTCTGTTGGTCATGGAAGTTCTGTATGCCAAGTTTGGTTCAATTTCATCATTGGTGGAGTTCAGAATGCTATTTGATTGTAGGCAAACTATAAATCCCAGCAACTACAACTCCCAAATGCCAAGATTCTATTTCCCACAAACTCCACCAGTGTTCACATTTGGGCATATGGAGTATTCGTGTAGAGTTTGGTCCAGATCCTTCATTATTTGAGTCCACAGTGCTCTCTGGATGGAGGTGTACTACAACTCCCAAACTCAAGGTCAATGCCCACCAAACCCTTCTAGTATTTTCTGTTGGTCATGGGAGTCCTGTGTGCCAAGTTTGGTTCAATTCCATTGTTGTTGGGGTTCAGAATGCTCTTTGATTGTAGGTAAACTATAAATCCCAGCGACTACAACTCCGAAATGACAAAATCAATTTTTTGAGTGAAGGACATACATTGGGTTGTTGGGTGTTTTGTGTCCAAATTTGGTGTCAATTCTTCCAGTGGTTTTCAGGCATTACAACAATGAACTCAGAAAAGAGGCCAATTTGTTACAAATTAGAATCATTGAGCTGGAAGAGACCCTGAAGGCCATCCAGCCCAATCCCATTCCGCTGTGGAGAAACACACCATCGAACCACTCCCAACAGATAGCCATCCAGCTTCTCTTTAAATATCTTCAGAGAAGGAGAATTAACCACATTCCAAGGCAACATATTACATTGCTGAACAGCTCTTACTGTCAGGAAGATCTTCCTAATGTTTAGTTGGAAACTTCTTTAAAGTCAAGTGTAAATGGAGAAATGGGGACATAACCTGGTTATCTTTTCTTCCCTTCAGATTGAGGAGCTGGAGGAACAATGCGATGAAATCAACAAGGAAAGAGAAAGAAACGTGCAGCTGAGCAAGCGCCTCCAGGAATTGGAAGCTGAGCTTCAAGACAAGGAGTTGGTATGTAAAACTAAAGCATGGCAATGAATAGCTTTCAAAGCAATATACATGGAGACCACATCTTTGGGGAGATCGTTCTCTTCCGCAGGAATTGTAAAATGCTGATATAGATCCCTTCGGAGGTTGTGCAACTCTCTAGGGCTCTCCGGAGATGAAAAGGGCGTTCTTTACTAATCTGAAAGTATAGGGTTTGCATGGTTTTGCACTTTTATAAATACCTTGGAGCCTTGTAGGTATCTGAAAAAAAATGGCTAGGAATGTTTCGACCTTTTTTTCTTTCTTAATTCTTCACCCACGTCTTCCTTCTCTCCGTAGTAGTTATAGTTAGGGATGAAGACGAACGTCTGAGAGTAATGGTGACAAGGCTGTCAAAACCTGTTGTTGTAGCATGGAACGTATTCATTGAATTGGAAAAATGATGCAGGTGATTTGAAGAGGGAAAGCTGGAGATTTATTTTGCAGATCCTCCTCCAAACGTCATTGCCAAACCAAGTTTAGGGTTTATTAAAAAACGTTTTATTGTGTCAGAAGCAACATGAGAATATAGTTATAAGGTATAGAAAAACCACAAACTTGGCATTAAAGTAAATGTCCCTTGACCAGAAGCTGGCCACTTCGAGTGCCTCTAGTGTCACTGTAAGAAGGTCTTCCCTTGTGCATGTGGCAGGGCTCAGACTGCATTGTAGTAAGTAGTCTGTGGTTTGCTCTTCTTCACACTCGCATGTCGTGGACTCCACTTTGTGGCCCCATTTCTTAAGGTTGGCTCTGCATCTCATGTTACCAGTGCACAGTCTGTTCAGCACCTTCCAAGTCACCCCAACTTCTGTTTGCCCAGGGGGGAGTCCCTTACCCAGTCTCAGCCACTAATTGAGGTACTGGGTTTTAGCCTGCCACTTTTGGACTCTCGCTTGCTGAGGTGTTCCTGTAAGTATCTCTGTAGATGTATTGTTGAAGGCTTTCATGGCCAGAATCATTGGGTTGTTGTAGGTTTTTTTGGGCTATATGGCCATGTTCTAGAGGCATTCTCTCCTGACGTTTCGCCTGCATCTATGGCAAGCATCCTCAGAGGTAGTGAGGTCTGTTGGAAACTAGGAACATTGGGTTTATATATCTGTGGAATGTCCAGAACATGGCCATATAGCCCGAAAAAACCTACAACAACCTCTGTAGATCTTAGGAAGCTGGTGGAGTACAGCTGAAGCATTTTCTGCAAAGTCCGTTGCCAACTCGGCATGTTGTTGCTAACAGGTTAATGTAAATGGGTGGCATTCAGAAACCTCTTTCTGTTGCCATGGTTTGCTCTTCTCCACAGTCACATGTTGTGGACTCCACTTTGAGGCTCCATTTCTTAAGGTTGGCTCTGCATCTCATGTTACCAGAGAACAGTCTGTTCAGTGCCTTCCAAGTCACCCCATCTTCTGTGTGCCCGGGATGTCTCTCAGTCTCAGCCATTAATTGAGGTGCTGGGTTTTAGCCTGCCACTTTTGGACTCTCGCTTGCTGAGGTGTTCCTGTAAGTATCTCTGTAGATGTATTGTTGAAGGCTTTCATGGCCAGAATCATTGGGTTGTTGTAGGTTTTTTCGGGCTATATGGCCATGTTCTAGAGGCATTCTCTCCTGACGTTTCGCCTGCATCTGTGGCAAGCATCCTCAGAGGTAGTGAGGTCAGTACCTCTGAGGATGCTTACCATAGATGCAGGCAGAACGTCAGGAGAGAATGCCTCTAGAACATGGCCATATAGCCCAAAAAAACCTACAACAACCTCTGTAGATCTTAGGAAGCTGGTGGAGTACAGCTGAAGCATTTTCTGCAAAGTCCGTTGCCAACTCTGCATGTTGTTGCTAACAGGTTAATGTAAATGGGTGGCATTCAGATTTGACCCCAACATGGCCAAATTTGACCCCAACATTGAGTAGAGTTGAGATCCACAGTTGAAGAAGCAATGCTTTAGGCCATACATGGGCAAACTTCAGCCCTCCGGGTGTTTTGGACTTCAACTCCCACAATTCCTAACAGCAGGAATTGTGGGAGTTGAAGTCCAAAACACCTGGAGGGCCAAAATTTGCCCATTTCTGCTTTAGACCATAGTTTCTAAAGCCATGTACTATCTGGGGAATCATAGAATCATATAGTTGGAAGAGACCTCATGGGCCATCCAGTCCAACCCCATTCTGCCAAGAAGCAGGAAAATCACATTCAAATCACCCCTGACAGATGGCCATCCAGCCTCTGCTTAAAAGCCTCCAAAGAAGGAGCCTCCACCACACTCTGGGGCAGAGAGTTCCACTGCTGAACGGCTCTCACAGTCAGGAAGTTCTTCCTCATGTTCAGATGGATTCTCCTTTCTTGTAGTTTGAAGCCATTGTTCAAACTACAATTTTAGGAGTTGTCCAAAATCCTAACTTCTCTATGTTATGTTGAAATGTAATTTGCCTACAGTTAATGCTCAAGATCCTGCAAGGAAGACTCCAGCAATATATGGAGCGAGAGTTGCCAGATGTTCAAGCTGGGTTTAGAAAAGGCAGAGGAACGAGAGACCAGATTGCCAATATCCGCTGGATAATGGAGAAAGGCCGGGAGTTTCAGAAAAACATCTATTTTTGCTTCATTGACTATTCTAAAGCCTTTGACTGTGTGGATCATAATAAATTGTGGCAAGTTCTTGGTGGGATGGGCATCCCAAGCCCCCTTCCCTCTCTCCTGAGGAATCTGTACAAGGACCAAGTAGCAACAGTCAGAACTGACCACGGAACAACAGACTGGTTCAAGATTGGGAAAGGCGTACGGCAAGGCTGCATACTCTCACCCAACCTTTTTAACTTGTATGCAGAACACATCATGCGATGTGCGGGGCTTGATGAATGCAAAGCTGGGGTAAAAAATTGCTGGAAGAAACATTAACAACCTCAGATATGCAGATGACACCACTCTGATGGCCGAAAGCGAGGAGGAGCTGAGGAGCCTTATAATCAAGGTGAAAGAAGAAAGCGCAAAAGCCGGGTTGCAGCTAAACGTCAAAAAAACCAAGATTATGGCAACAAGAATGATTGACAACTGGAAAATAGAGGGAGAAACGTGGAGGCCGTGACAGACTTTGTATTTCTAGGGGCAAAGATGACTGCAGATGCAGACTGTGGCCAGGAAATCAGAAGACGCTTCCTTCTTGGGAGGAGAGCAATGTCCAATCTTGATAAAATAGTAAAGAGTAGAGACATCAGACTGGCAACAAAGATCCGCATAGTCAAAGCCATGGTATTCCCTGTAGTCACCTACGGATGTGAGAGCTGGACCTTAGGGAAGGCTGAGCGAAGGAAGAGAGATGCTTTTGAGCTGTGGTGTTGGAGGAAAGTTCTGAGAGTGCCTTGGACTGCGAGAAGATCCAACCAGTCCATCCTCCAGGAAATAAAGCCCGGCTGCTCACTGGAGGGAAGGAGACTAGAGACAAAGTTGAAGTCCTTTGGCCACATCATGAGGAGTCAGCAAAGCCTGGAGAAGACAATTATGCTGGGGAAAGTGGAAGGCAAAAGGAAGAGGGGCCGACCAAGGGCAAGATGGATGGATGGCATCCTTGAAGTGACTGGACTGACCTTGAAGGAGCTGGGGGTGGTGACGGCCGACAGGGAGCTCTGGCGTGGGCTGGTCCGTGAGGTCACGAAGAGTCGGAGACGACTAAACGAATGAACAACAACAACAATAATGTTAGTGTTGAGTCTATGTCTCCATCCTGGATTTGTGGTTTGGGAGGAATCATTTAGAATGCTTAGTCATCTTGGAGCAGGGCCTCACCTGAAAACTCCAGATCCCAATATTATATGGGATTGGATTGCGGCTCTTAAAGTCGAATCATAATACAGTGCTCATGTAGTCTGGGAAAAACTCTGTGGTGGGGAGAAAGAGGTATGTGAGGTCAAAACATCTTCTCTCCGTATAATACCTCCTCTTGGAGATTAGAGGGGCTCTTTTATCACTGGGCTGCAGACGGAGCTGTCTGCGTGGGTCCAAATAGCGCCTGTCGGATTGTGCCTTTCATGTTCGGTGTTGACTTGAGCTGATGCTAATAACTCTTTTAAAGCCAGGGCTCCTTTTCAGGTCTGATGCGGCTAATGCTCCTTAACAACTTGGGCTGTTAGAAGAGCTTGAAGCACATGGATATGATGGTTCTGAGTATGATGGTTTTGACGCGCGGTTTCAAACATCTATCAGCAGCGTTCCTCAAAGACAAAATGTCATGCTTTTTTCCTTTTTTTGCTCAGCCCTTTCTGCGGGTAATAGCTTTCCTAATGAGCCACAGATTGTAACTTTCAAGACACCCACTCAGCCAGAAAATGGACTCATGAATATTACAGACTTCATTTCCACTTGCGATGGAAATGCCTCGGCTTTCTTTTGGGCTCTGCTACTTGGATTAGCAAACCCCCCAGTTCGTGCAAAATAACAGAGACATAAAGTATACCTGGCTTTGCAAGACAAGCACAGCAGGTGATGCCATAAAAGGGACTCCTTTCACACCTTCATATTTCGAGGGATACTGAAAAAATGGAGAGCATGCAGAGCAGCGAAGAGGATGTAAACATGTGTTGTCGAAGGCTTTCATGATTAGAGTGATGATTGGCCCAAACTAACAAAATAAAATTCAACAGTGACAAATGCAAGATACTCCACTTAGGCAGAAAAAACGAAATGCAAAGATACAGAATGGGGGATGGGTGACTCATAGAATCAAAGAGTTGGAAGAGACCTTATGGGCCATCCAGTCCAACCCCATTCTGCCAAGAAGCAGGAATATTGCATTCAAATCACCCCTGGACAGATGGCCATCCAGCCTCTGTTTAAAAGCTTCCAAAGAAGGAGCCTCCACCACACTCCGGTGCAGAGAGTTCCACTGCTGAACAGCTCTCACAGTCAGGAAGTTCTTCCTCATGTTCAGATGGAATCTCCTTTCTTGTAGTTTGAAGCCATTGTTCCTTGTCCTAATCTCCATGGAAGTTTGCTCCCTCCTCCCTGTGGCTTCCTCTCACATATTTATACATGGCTATCATGTCTCCTCTCAGCCTTCTCTTCTGCAGGCTATTTATTTATTTATTTGTCGTGTCAGGACAACCGGTCAAATTATACTACATTTCTAACAGAACAAAGCAAACAAACAGACAAAACACATATGGCTATCATATCTCCTCTCAGCCTTCTCTTCTTCAGGCTAAACATGCCCAGCTCCTTAAGCCGCTCCTCATAGGGCTTGTTCTTCAGACCCTTGATCATTTTGGTCGCCCTCCTCTGGACACATTCCAGCTTGTCAATGTCTCTCTTGAATTGTGGTGCCCAGAATTGGACACAATATTCCAGGTGTGGTCTAACCAAAGCAGAATAGAGGGGTAGCATGACTTCCCTGGATGTAGACTCTATGCTCCTATTGATGCAGGCCAAAATCCCATTGGCTTTTTTTGCCGCCACATCACATCGTTGGCTCTTGTATGTAAAAGATCTTGGGGTCCTCTTGGACAACAAGTTAAACATGAGCCAACAATGTGATGCGGCGGCACAAAAAGCCAATGGGATTTTGGCCTGCATCAACAGGAGTCTAGTGTCTAGATCCAGGGAAGCCATACTCCCCATGCTCTATTCTGCCTTGGTTAGACCACACGTGGAACACTATGTCCAGTTCTGGGCACCACCATTGAAGAGAGATATTGACAAGCTGGAATGTGTCCAGAGGAGGGCGACTAAAATGATCAAGGGTCTGGAGAACAAGCCCTATGAGGAGCGGCTTAAGAGCTGGGCATGTTTAGCCTGAAGAAGAGAAGGCTGAGAGGAGACATGATGAGGACAGTGTATAAATATGTGAGAGGAAGTCATAGGGAGGAGGGAGCAAGCTTGTTTTCTGCTGCCCTGGAGACTAGGAGGTGGAACAATGGCTTCAAACTACAAGAAAGGAGATTCCATCTGAACATGAGGAAGAACTTCCTGACTGTGAGAGCCGTTCAGCAGTGGAACTCTCTGCCCCGAAGTGTGGTGGAGGCTCCTTCTTTGGAGGCTTTCAAACAGAGGCTGGATGGCCATCTGTTGGGGGTGCTTTGAATGCAAATCTCCTGCTTCTTGGCAGAATGGGGTTGGACTGGATGGTCCATGAGGTCTCTTCCAACTCAATGATTCTATGATTCATGGCTGGAATTACTGGGTTGCTGTAAGTTTTTCGAGCTGTCTGGCCATGTTCTAGAAGCATTCTCTCCTGACTTTTCACCAACATCTATGGCAGACATCCTCAGAGGTTGTGAAGTCTATTGGAAACTAGGAAAATGGAGTTTATATATCTGTGGATGGAAGACCAAGGGCAAGATGGATGGATGGTATCCTTGAAGTGACTGGCTTGACTCTGAAGGAGCCGGAGGGTGGTGACAGCTGACAGAGAGCTCTGGCCTGGGCTGGCCCATGAGGTCACGAAGAGTCAGAAGCGACTGAACGAATAAACAACAACATATATGTCCAGGGTGGGAGAAATAACTCTTATCTGTTGGAGATAGGTGTGAATGTATCAATTGGCCACCTTGATTAGCAGTTTTCAAGGTGTGGCTTCTTACTTCCTGGGGGAATCCTTTGTTGAGAATGATTAGTTGTCCCTGATTGTTTCTTGTCTGGAGCTCCCCTTTATTTACTGTTATGATTTTATAGGGTTTTTTAATACTGGTAGTCAGATTTTGTTCATTTTCATGGTTTCACACCTACCTCCAACAGATAAGAGTTCTTTCTCCCACCCTGGACTTTCCACAGATATATAAACCCCATTTTCCTAGTTTCCAACAGACCTCACAACCTCTGAGGATGCTTGCCACAGATGCAGGCGAAACGTCAGCCGCAGCTGGGTATAAACCCCTCCACACACATTGCATAGCAGGATTTGACCTTGCCAAGCGGAATGACAATATTGTCCGCTTGGATGATGTTGATGGAGCATTTACAAGGAAGCGGATTTCTGGATTTCTGTCCAAAGTGATGGGTGGGCCCTACTCCAACATCTCGCTTGCTCAAGATATTGTGTAGGTACTTTCAATGGTCCATACAATCAGGGATTGTGCTTTCTGATTTGAATCCAAAGGCCTTCATTCAAATGTGTTATAATTCTTGTATGCATTACTGTGCAGGTACAGTTGTACCAGGAGCTCCAATTTTGTTTGCTTTGCACTGAATGTTTGTTGCAGTCCTAAGTTTCAGGGACTCTGCAGATAGGTGGCTTCTTTTGGCTGCAATCATAGGGCAAGCCACCTGTCAATTATAGTTAGGTTCCCTGGTCCGCCCCCTTTTTGGGTTTTTGGAGGGAATAGGAGCCTTTTTGGGTTCAGTCCACACAGAGAAGCCTTTCATGCAGGACATAATACCAAGAGCTCCTGTAGAAAGCTTCGTCTTCTACTGCTTGGCCGGGGAGATATACAGCCTACAGCTTGGCCGAGGATTATACAGCCTTACAGCTCCTTTGCTGAAGGACTTCAGCCAGCCATCACCGAAACCTGAACTCCTTTTCCCTGGAAGTCTACAAAGCTCTGCTTGGTAAGGGTCACTCGCGGAAGCCAGACGCAGTTGGTACCGGGTGTAGGGGCTCCACGCCAACAGAGGCAAAGAAAGACTGCCCAGATTAGAAGTTAAGGATTTCCCCATTAGTTAAAATACCAGTCATGAAGATAGTGCCTGTTCCCTGTGGACAAGATTGAAAGAGCCAATAGATTATTAAGAAAGCCTTAAAGTACCTGTTAGTTTTCAGTAATAAAGAACTTTGTTGGACTTACTTTAAGCCTCTACAGAACTTTGTTTAAGGAAATCCAAAGGCCTTTAATCTGAGGCAGCCCCGGCATCCCATTGGGCACACAGAAGTTATGTCCTGTCTACATTCTTATGCACAGGCCCAGCATGCGACAGCACAATTACCTTTGTGTACCATAATATTCTTATGTGTAGGAATGGCTGTATTATTTTGATGGTTTAATAACGCTTCCCATAATTAGCTTTTGCCAAGCTTGTGATAAAGCACCAAAATGATTTGGGTCTAGCTGTGAAACGTTATCATTTTCGCACTTCACATTTCAGCTAATCATTTTGTTCAAACCGTTTTGCTACCACCTCCTCACATGCTAATCTAACAAGGCCATGGTGCTTAAAGTCTGGCTCTTCCCCCCTGAAAATTGGCTCCACAATTTCAATTGCATATAGAATTGAAAATGACAAAGCTGAATATCAGGCAGCCTGTATGTTTCCAAAGATGTACTCATGGGTTTCTATGTATATGCATGTGCTTTCATCTTTTTTTAAAAAAATGTAGGATGTCTGAGAATTATCTCTGCAATTAAGGTGCAACTTTCTGTTACTTTCTTCAGGAGTTAGAAGATCTTCGGAAACAGGGTGAAATCATACCACAGCTGATGACAGAATGTGAAACAGTATCTCAGAAATTGCAGGTATGAGTATTATATACTTAGTATATATGTTTGTGCGTGTGTGTGTGTGTATAGAGAGAGAGAGAGAGAATATTTTCAGTTTTTAAAAATGATACTTTGTCTGACTCTTGTAACCAGCCAATCCCTCCCCAGTTCCAGAGATACAGCTTAATGGTGTAACATTAGAAAATGTTGACCATTTATTATTATTATTATTCTTTTTTTTTCAAAAGTAGCAGAACTTTATTGACAATATCTTAGTTGTGTTTTGTTCATTATTGATGACAAAAAAATTCTTCGACAAATAACAATGAATGACCTTCCCGTTGGAAGATCTGTGGATGAAACTATTCGTCTAGTACAAGCATTCCAATATACTGATAAACATGGAGAAGTTTGTCCTGCTGGCTGGAGACCAGGCAGTGAAACAATAATTCCGGATCCTGCAGGAAAACTGAAGTATTTTGGTAAAATGAACTAACTACCAAAATACTTCAGTTTTCCTGCAGGATCCGGAATTATTGTTTCACTGCCTGGTCTCCAGCCAGCAGGACAAACTTCTCCATGTTTATCAGTATATTGGAATGCTCGTACTAGACGAATAGTTTCATCCTCAGATCTTCCAATGGGAAGGTCATTCATTGTTATTTGTCGAAGAATTTTTTTGTCATCAATAATGAACAGGCCTCTAAGAGCATGTCATTGGTCCTCTAGATAAGCACCGTAATCCTTTGCGATCTGGTGTGTCAAGTCAGAAAGAAACAACAACAACACTGCCTCCATGTCCTCCTTGTTATTATTATTATTCTTAACAACTTTTTTTATACCCCGCTAACATCTCCCGAAGGACTCGATGCGGCTTACAAAGGCCAAGGCCACAACAAAACAACAGCATACAAATACAACAGTAAAACTCATAAAGCAAATAATAAAACATCAAGCAAAACAATAAAACACTAAAAACATGACACATGACGCATTTAAAACCTAAGGCCGGGCCAAATGTAATGGACAAAATTTAAAAAGTGCTGGACATGACAGGTGAAATGTAGAGGTTTTTGGAGGTAGGTGCAATGTGCAGACAATCCTAAATCTCTAACAAAGTGCATTTGGGACATGATGCTAGGAGTTTCCTATTCTGGAAAGGCACACTGGAACAGCCAGGTCTTCAGGCTCTTCCTAAAGACTGCCAACGTTGGGGCTTGTCTGATGTCCTTGGGGAGAGAGTTCCAGAGTCGGGGGGCCACCACAGAGAAGGCCCTGTCCCTCGTCCCCACCAAACGCGCTTGCGACGCAGGTGGGATCGTGAGCAGGGCCTCTCCAGATGATCGAAGGGATCGTGTGGGTTCATATATGGAGATGCGGTCACGCAGGTAGGCGGGTCCCAAACCGTTTAGGGCTTTGTAGGTGAGCACCTGCACCTTGAATTGGGACCGGAAGATGAACGACAGTCAGTGGAGCCATCTCTCCACAAAAGTCAACATTGACACTGAAATACAACACCGCCTGAGCTCTGTGAGTGCAGCATTTTTCCGAATGAAGTAGAGAGTGTTTGAGGACCGGGACATCCGTAGGGATACCAAGGTGCTTGTTTATAAAGCTATTGTCCTCCCAACCCTGCTATACGCCTGCGAGACGTGGACTGTCTACAGATCACATGCAACTCCTGGAATGATTCCATCAGCGCTGCCTCCGGAAAATCCTGCAAATCTCTTGGGAAGACAAGCGGACAAATGTCAGCATGCTGGAAGAAGCAAAGACCACCAGCATTGAAGTGATGGTCCTCCGCCATCAACTCCGCTGGACCAGCCACATTGTCCGGATGCCCGACCACCGTCTCCCAAAGCAGTTGCTCTACTCTGAACTCAAGAACGGAAAATGAATGTTGGAGGACAGGAAAAGAGATTTAAAGATGGGCTCAAAGCCAACCTTAAAAACTCTGTCATAGACACTGAGAACTGGGAAGCCCTGGCCCTTGAGAACTCGAACTGTAGGTCAGCTGTGACCAGCTGTGCTGTAGAATTTGAAGCGGAACAAATGGAGGGCGAAACAGAGAAACGTGCCAAGAGGAAGGCGCGTCAAGCCAACCCTGACCAGGACCACCTTCCACCTGGAAACTGATGCCCTCACTGTGGGAGAAGATGCAGGTCAAGGATAGGGCTCCACAGTCATCTATGGACCCACCGGCAGTACACTGATCTTGGAAGACAATCCTACTTGGACAACGAGGGATCGCCTAAGTAAGGAAGTAAGTAAGTAAGTAAGTGTGTGTATGTATGTATGCATGTATATATATTGAGAGAGAGAGAGAGTATATTTTCAGTTTTTAAAAAATGATACTTTGTCTGAGTATTATAACCAGCATTTTAAAACTAAAGTTATAGCTCATGTTTACATGATTCTGAGACAGGGAAGAGCAGTGGAAATTGCTCAGCCAAAGAAAGGCGAAAACTCCTGTTTTCCTTCCTTTGAGGAATGAAAATGATATTCATGCTTCTGCAAGTCAGACTTGTTGAGAAAACCATTATTGTCTCGCACTAGGTCAGAAACACCTTTCCACCCAGCACCAAACAGAGACCACTCATTGCTAACTCCAGAAGTTTATTTACAAAAGGCATAGACAAAAGGAAAATTAGATTAGGTGGAATCTTCTTTCTTGTTGTTTGAAGCCATTGTTCTGTGTCCTAGTCTCCAGGGCAGCAGAATACAAGCTTGCTCCCTCCTCCCTATGACTTCGCCTCACATATTTATACATGGCTATCATGTCTCCTCTCAGCCTTCTCTTCTTCAGGCTAAACATGCCCAGCTCTTTAAGCCGCTCCTCATAGGGCTTGTTCTCCAGGACCCTTGATCATTTTAGTCACCCTGTCCAACCCCCTGCCAAGAAGTAGGAAAATTCATTCAAAGCACCTCCGATAGATGGCCATCCAGCCTCTATTTTAAAGCCTCCAAAGAAGGAGCCTCCACCACACTCCGGGGCAGAGAGTTCCACTGCTGAACAGCTCTCACAGTCAGGAAGTTCTTACTCATGTTCAGATGGAATCTCCTTTCTTGTAGTTTGAAGCCATTGTTCTGCGTCCTAGTCTCCAGGGAAGCAGAAAACAAGCTTGCTCCCTCCTCCCTATGACTTCCTCTCACATATTTATACATGGCTATTATGTCTCCTCTCAGCCTTCTCTTCTGTAGGCTAAACATGCCTAGCTCTTTAAGCCGCTCCTCATATTCCAACCAATTGTTTAGCCTGTTGTCAACCTTTGCAACCCGAAAGACAGTTGCATCTGTCAAGTAGGAAAATTAGGTACCACCTTAAAGTGTGGGGAGGCTAAATTAACTGATTTATGAGGCCATAAAGAAGACTCCAGCAAAGCATTCCAGCGGGAAGCATGCGGGGAATGCGGAAGTGCTTCATCAGCGTCGCAGATGGACGATGAAAGCGATAGCTCCCCTGGCGGCCAGAAAAAGTTAAATAGCCTCTGTGTATGTCTGTATATGTTGTATGTCAAAAATTGGCATTGAATGTTTGCCATATATGTGTACATTGTAATCCGCCCTGAGTCCCCTGCGGGGTGAGAAGGGTGGAATATAAATGCTGTAAATAAATAAATAAATGTGTTTGCAATTGACACTGTAATGGAGATTTTGCCAAGGGTAGAGGTGGGCTTAGGTTCTTCCATAAGTAACGCTTTTCTGCAATGTTTCTTTTTCCAGGCCGCGGAGAAGAGGAATAAAGACCTTGAGGATAAGGTCAGAGCCCTGAAGACCGAGGTGGAAGAGAGTAAACACCGGCAAACTCACCTTAAGACGGAGTTACAGACTTTTTTAGATGTACTAGACGGGAAGATAGACGAATTACATGATTTCCGGCAAGGACTGTCTAAATTGGGAGTTGACAACTAGGGAATCGCAACGTTTCCCTCCCCTTAAGTGTAACATTGCAGGTGTGCGTGGGTGCAGATGTGTTTTAATTCCTGAACATTTCTTTCTTACACACAAACACACAGGTCGGTTCTTCCTGTTTTTGCAGTGTGATGTGTACATAGATTTACAAGGTTAATGCTTCTCCCTTCCCTTCCTTTTTTTCTTTCCCGAAATGGTTGTTTGTTTACTCTTTCTTTTTTTGAAGGAGAGAGAGAGGGAAAAAGAGAGTGTTTATCTTATTGCTATCGTCCTTTGAGAGTTGGTGACCAGGAGAGAGGGGTCTTGCCTCAGGAAAACTGGAATCCAGACCCAAAATGAATATGCAGTTGAGATGTTCCGGGAAGTGTTCTGTCTTGAAGGGCTGCTGCAGCCATAGAAACAGGAATCCAGCCTTGGTTGTTAAGCCACATGCCGTTTTATTCCTCCTTTATCTGTGGCGCAGACAGCGGGGAAGATGAGACGAGGTTCCTGTGGCGTGTCAACAGGCTTAATGGCAAAGTGCGCTTGGGAGAAAGACCCCTGCAGTCGATGCCCTGAGCCTTAGGAACAAATCAGCGAAGCCTCCTCTGAAGACACCCGTGGGGGTCCCTTTTGTACCTGCGAGGCCTTTTTCATACAGAATTTGCCATGTTCCATTATGTGCACTTACAATCCAGTATCCAGACTGCGGTGTCTTTGGCTGTGGCGGAATGGGTATGCGCTTTATGCAATAAGGTAGTTTTCAAAGTCCTTGCCTTAGTAGATTTCACAGTAGGGTGCATAAATGAGCCATTGGCATGTCTGGGAAATGGGCCATTCTCTTTTGAGATCCCTAGCTCAGTCCGGCTGGAGAGGCAATGGGACGCCCGAGGCCCTTTCAGCTGCGCCATTGAGTCGCCTTCGGGCTTGAGAAAGGCGGGATAGAAATATCTATATAAATAATAATGTCATGTTCGTTTGTGGGATTAACAGAACTCAAAAACCACTGGAAAAATTGACGCCAGATTTGGACACAAGGCACCTAACAACCCAATGTATGTCCTTCACTAAAAATATGGGAGTTGTAGTTGCTGGGATTTATAGTTCAACTACAATCAAAGAGCATTCTGAACCCCAACAACGATGGAATTGAACCAAACTTGGCACACAGTTCTCCCATGACCAACAGAAAATACTGGAAAAGTTTGGTGGGCAGTGTCCTTTGGTTTTGGAGTTGTAGTTCACCTACATCCAGAGATCACTGTGGACTCAAACAATGATGGATCTGGACCAAACTCTACAAGGAATACTCAATATGCCCAAATGTGAACACTGGTGGAGTTTGGGGCAAATAGAATGTTGACTTTTGGGAGTTGTAGTTGCTGGGATTTATAGTTCACCTACAATCACAGAGCATTCTGAACTCCACCAACATTAGAATTGGCCCAAACCTCCCACACAGAAAAGCCATGTGGGCCACAGCAACACGTGGCAGGGGACACCTAGTTGTAAATAAATAAGGTAAAGGTTGTCCCTTGACATTAAGTCCAGTCGTGCCTGACTCTGGGGGTTAGTACTCATCTCCGTTTCTAAGCCGAAGAGCCGGCGTTGTCCATAGACACCTCCAAGGTCATGTGGCCGACATGACTGCATGGAGAACCAGTTACCTTCCTGCCAAAGCGACACCTATTGATCTACTCACATTTGCATGTTTTCACATTGCTAGGTTGGCAGAAGGTGGGGCTAACAGCGGAAGCTCACCCCGCTCCCTGGATTCGAACAGCCTACTTTTTGGTCAGCTGGCAGAAGGGTTTAACCCATTGAGCCACTGGGGGCTATTAATAAACTGAGTAAAAGTCTATTTTTATTTTTTGCAAACCCACTAGGGATATTTCTTTGAGTGTCTTTAAGTCACACTCAGTAGCGACCAAAGGTTAAAAATAAAGACAATCCAATTTATTGTTGAAGGCTTTCATGCCCAAAATCACTGGGTTGTTGTAGGTTTTTCGCACTGCATGCCATGTACTAGAAGCATTCTCTCCTGACGTTTCACTGCATCTATGGCAGGCATCCTCAGAGGTTGTGAGGTTCTGTTGAAACCTCACAACCTCTGAGGATGTTTGCCATAGATACAGGCGAAACATCAGGAGGGAATGCTTCTAGAACATGGCCATACAGCCTGAAAAACCTACAACAACCCAATTCAAGGTGTTCCAACAAACCCCTCAACCTTGGAGGATACTTGCCGCAGATGCAGGCGAAACATCAGGAGGGAATGCTTCTAGAACATGGCCATACAGCCCGAAAAACCTACGACAACCCAATCCAATTCTTATCGCATCTTGGCATTTTTGGCACGAGCCCATCCACACTATAGAACTATAATTCCATTTCGACTGCACAGGAGAATGAAGGGTGCAGAGGAGTGCCCTACAATGATTACCATAGAAATTGCATCTTTTATCATCTCCCCCCCCCACACACACACACACACATACCTCGGCCTGAATAGGTATTTTCCTACACATCCAAGCAAGAGCATGGCAGCACAACACTCCATTGAGAGTATGTTCTCAAGGTGGCCAACTGCAACATTGCCACCATGTCAGGCTACACAGAGAAGCCATTGAAATCCACAAGCATGTGGACAATTTCAAGAGAAAGAAAGAAATTATGAAAATAAACAAAAGCTGGCTACAGTATTTTTAAAAAATCTAAAATTCAGGACAGTAAATAAAGAGGAACACTGAAAAAAACCAGGGGAATTCCAGACAGGAAACAATCAAGGCCAGCTAACACCTCCCAACAAAGGATTCCCCAGGCAGGAAGCAGCCAGGCTTTGAAGTTGCAAGGTCATTCAATGCTAATCAAGGTGGCCAACTGCAACATTCCAACAGACAAGAGTTCTTTCTCCCACTCTGGACATTATCCCACAGATATATAAACCTCACTTGCCTAGTTTCCAACAGACCTCACAACCTTTGAGGATGCCTACCATAGATGTGGGTGAAATGTCAGGAGAGAATGCTTCTGGAACATGACCATACAGCCTAGAAAACTCAGAGCAACCCGGTCAACACATGAAAAAAATGACATCCATTGCAAATTAATGGGAGCCTGATTCAGAAAATTGCATTGGATAGACCGCATTAGCTTTAGTTTCTTGAATACGGTTCTCATCTTTTATGAGCGAGCAGATGGCTAGCTACTGGTAGATGCCTTATGTTCTGTATCTCAAAATCTCGAGCTAATAGGGGAAAACTGCTGCCATTTTTGGAAACAATAGGTGAAATATACCCAGAAACAGGTCGAACGTTTCTGGCACCAAAATGTGTGTGGGCTAGACATCAGTCCACGCAGTCCCTTCTGAAGGATCTACTAATCCCAGGAGAACCACAACCAGTAGAACTTGACTCGATGGCTATGAGGCTTCCATCTTTGTTACTCTATTCTTCTTAATTCCATATCTTAACTTTTAAAGTCAAGAAAGAATTATGACCCTAAGCTTAAAGTAGTGGTTCCCAACCTGTGGTGCGTGGAGCACCAGTGGTCCCCAAGAACTATGAGGGTTGAATGAAAAGTTATGCCTCCACCTTCGTTACTTGAGTTTAGATGGGAATATTCTAATAAATCAAACGCAGAAATAATCCTTAGAATGTGCTCTTTAACTACCACCATTAACTTTTCCACATAATCACCAGACAATTGGATACATTTCTGCCAACGATGAACACGTTTTCTGAAGCCATCACGGAAGAAGTCGACACTCTGTTTCCGCAACCAGCATCTCACTGTTCTCTCAAGGTCTTCATCAGAAGCATAATGATGTCCCCACAGATCTTCTTTCATTATTGGGAACTGATGGAAGTCAGACGGTGCTAAATCTGGATTGTATGGAGGATGTCGTACGGTGGTGAGATCCAGTCTGTGCGCTTTCATTTCAGGCGTCAGCATCCTGGGTATCCATCATGCACAGATCTTCTGATAGCCAAGCAAAGCAATAATGTGACCCACACGTTCTTGTGAAATGCTGATTATGCTTGAAATTCCTCTCTGAGTGATACGACGATCGTCCTGAATCAATCTGTCAACCTTTTGCTTGTGAAACTCAGTGGTTGCTGTTACAGGATGTCCAACTCTTTGTCACACGAGTCAGATGTTCCCAACCCAATATTTTTAAATGTACTTGCCCAATGATGCACAGTACTCACATCAGCACAATCACCATAAACAGCTTGCATTCTCTGATGAGTCTGGGATGAATTTGGGGTGACACCTTCTGCTGTCAAGAATTCAATGACTGCACGTTGCTTAAGTCGCATTGCACAGGGTTCCATACTTCACACTTTAACAACACAACCGTTCAATGCTAAGGCTTCCCGCTAAAATGGAACTGTAGAGGAGAGTCTACTGAACAAGCCAGTACCTGCCACATACCAGCACTGCCATCTGTTGAGGAATTGCGAAGATGGAGGCATTACTTTTCATTCAACCCTCGTAAAATATGGTCCGCGGCCTCACCATTACTACACTGTTGCAACGAGAGTGACTGGTCTTGCAAAGCTCTATTTTAGTGCCAAGGCTTTTGTGTGGGCGAGAAGATGGCGACTACTGGATGGCATATGTTCTGTATCAGAAACTAGAGGTGATGTGGTCTATCTAATGAAGTTTTCTGAATCAGCAACCCAAATAACTAAACCGAAGTTGGCCAAAACCGATTCGTAACCCTTTTGGTACTGATGTTGGAGAGTGGTCCCTGGTCAAAGTGGTCCCTGGTCAAAAAAAGCTTGTTCTAAAGCAGTGGTTCTCAACCTGGGGTCCCCAGATGTTTTTGGCCTTCAACTCCCAGAAATCCTAACAGCTGGTAAACTGGCTGGGATTTCTGGGAGTTGTAGGCCAAAACACCTGGGGACCCACAGGTTGAGAATCACGGTTCTAAAGTATAGGTTGGGGCCAGGTCAAGGACGACAGATGGCTGCATTCGGCCCACGGGCTTTAGTTTGGGAACCACGGCCTTAAAGGATTTGGACATCGACCTATGAACCTAAGCTCAGAAATGGATCACATTTTGAAGTCAACTGGAACTGAATATCACCACAATCCAACAAGGAGTTGGGCATGCTTTGGGTGTTAACTTGTGTTTTCTGCTTTCTAATACTGGTTAGCAATAATTTTATTTTAGCCATATGCCAGCGGAGACGAAGGATTGTCAACGAGATGAAAAGTGACTGCTTTCCTAAGTCCTCTGTCTTTCTGTTTTGTGTCTCTTTGTTGCAAAGGGTGTGGGAGAGAGTCACCCATACTGAAAAAGCATCCATTCAAATTAATTTTTCTCCGTTCATGAGATGTTCTGAAACTTTGGTGTAGAGCACATCACA